GCCATCTCTTGCCTCAAACTGGTCTTTCCTTGTTTCTGTTTTCCTTTTGTTGGGCCGGCCTCTTACACCATATGCTGCTTTTCAATTTCATGCCTTGCTAGCTAGCTTTCTTTTTTCTTTTTATTTTTTCCAATTTTAATTGAAGCAAAATAATATCCCTTCCCTTTTTTCTAGAGAAAATATAACCCCTCTCTGTTTTAATTAATTTATGACATATTTACTAAGCTAGAAGGGATTGTTCCTGATTTTTGCTGTGTTTACTAAAATCATGAGGATTGAAACTATTTTGAAGTAAAAAACATCTATATAAAATTCAAAATCAAATACTTAGGAAACCATACACATTCATTATCTCAGCATTTTATAAAATTATGGTTGTGCCCAATGTGAAACTAGGAAAATAGAAAAAAACCTTAAAATCAAAAGGCCAGGCTATAATGCGGGGTTCCCTTAAGAGACGTCTGATTGATCAAACGGTATACTTTTGGAATTCTCTTTATGCTAAAACCGGGTTGTAATTACCCGTTTTTAAGAACCAAAGGGTTTTGTCATCCACGTGCCCACTCCACTCTATAGCCATTCACGCGCCCCCTTGAAAGCTCCAAGAAACTTAATTAAATTCTTATTTTTCCATTTCTCCTCTTGCAGCTATCTCCTTTCTTTTTTTCTGGGGAGTGCATCTCCTCTTCTTCCAGCCGTGTGTCTGCCGCGCAAATCTCACGGCCTGGAGTTCCGGGCCGAGGGGATGTGTGTTGACACGCGATTTCCTGCTTTTGGGTGCGGTGCGGTTGTGCGCGGGCTTGCCAGCACGGTCTACCGAGCGTCGAGATGTTGATGAGTGTAGGATGGATGATTGGTGCGCCTGTTTGAACTCGTCTTCTAATCAAACGATTGTAGCCGAGAGAGGAACTAGTCTCGGCTGTTAGGTTCACGGCCTGAACTACAAGGCCGTTGAGTGATGGTGTTGGTGGTGGGTTTTGGGCGGTGCTCCGGCGCGTCGCTCAGGGAGCGACGGTCGTATGATATATGGGGTGAGGGAACGAACAACAGAGATGGTGCTCCGGCGCCTTGAAAATCAAGGGTCGTATGATATATTGATGAATGAATTTTCCTTACAGTCTAACACTACTCCTAGGAAAGCAAGTAAAGATATTGAAAGTGCATTACAGGAAAAAATAAGTTGCTCCGTGGGAGGCTTTGGTTTGGTGTTTGAACCCGTTGAATGTAGCTCGAGCCTTGTATTTATAGGAAGAGTTCCTGGAGGAGTAATCGAGGCTGAAAATCTGCATGGTGGAGCCTGATTAGAGCAAGTGGGTAGTCCAATCGACATTTGGGAT